CTCAGATGCCTGTGACTAGTATTAAAGAATTCAGCCAATAATTCCATGGGGATGGGGGGGGGGAACTAGCCTTCTGACATCCATCTTCACATCTTTGAAAGCTATGCAGATGAAGAGTTAGACTTTGTCAATTTGAAAGCAGAAAGATTTCAGCTCTAAGTTTTTTATTGTAACTCTCCAATGCTAGAAATACCCTTAGCATTAGAATTTCTACAATGGGGATCCCTCTTAACTCTCCAACAGTGGGCTAGAAAGACCCTTAGCATTAGAATTTCTACAATGGGGATCCCTCTCCATTCTTAACCATCTCTGGAAGACTCTTGTATAGCCCTGTGTTCATTTGGGAAGCTTTTAAAATAAGCTTTTGAGGTCAGTATCTATTATGTAGCTGGCCATGGGATACAATGTCACAGTGTACCAAATCAGGGACTGCCTAGATTCTACCTCTCTCTATTTACATTTTCAGGGGGTCACTCTGCCAGCCATGACATAGGAATGGGTGAACATGTTGCTTATTCATTTTTAACTTCCTCTCTTGATACAAACTCAAGTTGTCCTGTCAAACACAAGTATTTCCAGTAGAATATCTGCCCTTTGATGGGTCATGCTATGCATTCTTATCTCCTCTGGCCACTGTTCAGCTGGTCTTCACAGGGTCAACACTGTTTGCAAATCATTGTCCTGGGCACTCTTGGAGGCCATGAAGTTGAACAGACAATGGTTCATACCCAGGGGGAGTTTTGAAGGTCAGCATTTTTTTCCTTTAGAATGGTTTCCTAGGAGACAAGAGAGCAGAAGGCAGCTGTGGGTGTCCATTAACCTTAGTGTCTCAGAAAAGTTTGCTGTTACTGTTGTTTGCAGTCTTTGGGAATTATGCTACCTGACAACAATTTGTGTTTTTCACTGACATAAAATGCTGTCAAAGATGTTCTTCCTTGTCTGTTCTTGTCTTCCAAGACCTTTACTCTTCCTATGGTTTGGAATCTGGAGAAGAGTGTTGGCTTGAACAGGCCACATTCTGTGCTTGTCTTCTATACATTATCACCTGCCCTCATGCAGTGCAGGGGCCAGCTTGCTTCCTAGTCAGTTGATTAAACATTCTCAATGCAAATAGCCTCTGTTTAGGAGCAGGGGAAGATGAGGAAGAATTACCATCCATGAGGACTAACTACAGCTTCTTCAAGTTCAGCCATCTTGGCTTTTCTGTTGATTGTGTGTTAAAAAAAAATCTTTTTAAATTGCTGAATGATTTTTGTCATTGTCAGCTGGAAGACTTGAGACAGAGAACCGGCTTCTGCCCCCCCCCCCCAGCCCCCCAATCTTCTCATCAACTGTAAATTAGAGCCCTGACAAACTCACATATTGCCAGCCTGGCAGAGGAGAGCCTTCACACTTGTGCAGAGCTGGGGACTTTGGCTGGGCTGCCAGCCCTGGGGCTGGGGAAGTGGCCCAGTGTCTGGGCAGGCAGGGATCTGATCCTAGAGTTCACTTACCTCTATGACTGAGAAGTCATTTCATTAGTGACCTATTTTTAACATTGATAGGTACATATAAGGAACAGGGAACTTGATGCTGAGGATAAGAACTGCCACTTTTCCTGCAGAAGGGTTGAAGACTGGGAGAATCTGAACTCAGCCAAGTCTGGCCTTCTCATGTTAACCCACACTGCTAGTACTTCTGGATCACAGGGCTGAATGTCCAGAGGTAGAGAGCCAGCATCAACCATTGTCACTTACACAATTGTCCCTGTGCCTTGAGGGGACCTTGCCCCATGCAGAGTCCTGAGAGCCATCCCTAAGAGTCAGCTCCAGAGTATGTTGGGTGGTCCCTTCCTCGTTCACCAGTCATTCATTTAGGATCAAGTTTCTAGCTCTAATGTTTGCTTTCTCAGTCTACTATATAGTACTGCTCTGACTTCCAGGAGCAAAGCAGAAGAAAGCATCTGGGCAAACCCAGCTGTGTGTTTACTTCTGAATGAGGGCCCACTTGGGAAATGGCGGAGACACCTAGAGCCACACAACCCTACCTCCACTGCCATAGCTACAACCCAATTAATAACAGCTACCTGCAACATGGCAGAGGTCACCAAAGACTTAAAACTAGGAAGGCGACAGTTACTATTGTCTGTAGTGTTTGTGCAAAAGTTTGTCTCCTTTGTCAGTTCAATCCATTTGTCCCCATTTTTGTATGTATAGAGAGTTAACTAGGGATCCACCTCATCCTTACCTTTGAGATAACAGCCAGCACTTTAGAAAATACTTCATATAACCTGCTTTAAAGCACAACAGGCCACAGGTTGACTTCACTGTAACAAAGCCCAACCATGACTTCCTCAGCCTGTCCACAAAGTAGGTATTGAGGATAAAGAGAGGACATAAGCAATGAAACAGTTGGTTATACATTATAGATTATAAGAAATGAAAATACAGAGTGCATCTTAAATGATTAATGTATGAAAACCATCACCACTTACTGTGCATTAATCAAGAAAAAAATGCACTCTTCCCACAGAGGTTAATGTTGCAGGCCTGTTGTTCAGTTTTGAGAATATGCACAATAGATGCTCACTATGACAATGAATTGGGGAATTCAGGATGGTAGCAAGTTCCGTGTAGTATTTGGATTAGCATCGTAATCTGTGCCTTGTCAGCCTCATCAGGAAACAAGCTACATATATATGTATTTTTTTCTTCAAAACTAGCAAAAATATGGATACATTTTTTAAAAAAAGCTTTTTTTTAAAAAAAAATAATGAATAATGACCAAGGTACCTGCTTAAACAAATACTACCAGCATTCATTAGTTAGGATGATTATATGTAAAAAAAATGATGCCAGATAGTAACAAATCCAAGAGAAGTTTATTATGAAAATGGCACCTGCGGATGAAAAAATTAAGTTACATAAAGACAACCATGTATGTGACATGTATGAGAATCTACAAAAGTATAAAAAGAACCCTGTTGTAAATGAAGTATGTACACTTCCGATTTGCAGCATTATCAATGGTCAATGAAAAAAAAATGTTTCAAAATAAGCCAGGCACTCAGGAAGTTAAGTCCGGTTAGCTTCACACAAAACAAATGTAGCATAGCTGTCGCTTTGTAACATTTTAATTATTTTTATACATATATATATTGTAGAGTTGGTGACACTAAGGGCTTGACAAACAGAATATCCCTTTCCCCATTATTCAGCTATGTGGTACCAGTCTCCTCATAAAAGTTTTCGTATATTTGTACAAGAAATAGTTAAAAACACAAACACAGTCTTCACAGGTAATGAAGTGTTTTTTTTTTTTTTTGTTATTTTGTAATTTTAAACACTATGGATTTAGACAGCAGCTGTGATTATCTGTTAGTTTAAATCACCAGAAATCATTTTGACACAACACAGAAACATTTATAAAAAAAAAAAAAATCAAAAAACCCCCAAAACCCAGCTGTCTAGCTGTTCTTTGTAGCTGATAGGTGCATCCCCTTGATTGTTCGATAGCTAGAGTACGGCTCCAAAACTAATCTTTAAATTTCTCCATCGGCTTTCTTCATCTTCTAAACTGACTTAAGTCCTTCAAGGAAGCTCAGTGCTAAGATCTGTGGCATTTAACTTCCTCCTGTTATTATTCCACCATGGCTTGGGCCCAACTCATGGAATCAAAAGTTCTAGAGGAATCCACTCAGCACGGTGATAATTCAAAGGACAGCCGAGTTACTCTATTAGCATTGCACGAATAAACAAATATATATGACAATTCTATATTCCATTAACCCCTCCCATTTTGTTTTTAAAAAAATGTTGGTTGGCCTTTGAAATCATTTTCTGTTTCACTTGTAATTGCTTTATATACTGCTCCATCAGCCAACCTGAAAGGAAACCAAAGAAAAGCACCCACTGCTTTATAGGTAGAGCACAAGGGACTCTGGGAATGTCAACAACTGGGGCTGTATGGCATCAATTTATTTATAATATATCTGAGCATTATTCTTCAGGGCTCTTGTGTAGCACTCCAGGAGAGTCACACCCAGAATTCCATTGTGGGAAAAATGGCTCCATTAACCTTGAGCTAGTTAAGAGTCTTTTTTTTTTTTTTTTTTTTTTTTTTTTAATCACTGAGAATGAAATAGATCTGGGGTATCTGGGAAGGGAAGCACAGGAGAGAAATGGGGAGACCAGGAGGGAAAAACAGGGGAAGCAGGGAGAATATACAACAGCAGGGATTTGGCAAAGGAAACAGGGTTCACAGACAGTAGAAGCAGTATAGGTGACACCACAGAGAAAGGCCACCACGAAAAACCACTAACCCCCAAGAGTCACTGATTCACTAGGACTGCAGGAATGGGACTGTGCCACTCCACTAGAGACAGAGCACAGAGAAGACAGTGGACAAAACGACTACATTAGCTTAGCATATACTGCATATAGAAACACACACTGAAACTGCAATGGGACCCACAGCCAAGGACACTACACGTTGTACACATTACAGTTCTCACATCTGGTATTAGATGCCTTCACAAACAGCTGCCAAAAACGAAGTGGGAGAAGAATCTATACTGGACAGTCATTTGGAGTGTTTGACACCACACTGATTTCTGGCAACAAAGACAAAATAGGCTATTTTTTTTTCTTTTTTTCTTTTTTTTTTCTTTTTTTCATTGAATATGCAGTTTTCAGTTGCAGTTTTCTGTCTGAAGCTCATTAACCCATTTTTTTCTTTTCTTTTTTCTTTTTTTAGTTTTAAAAACTTCTTGGTTTCAACTCAGAAATAAGAACCAAAGGGAAATAAATTCCACCAAATCAGCCCCCAATATGACCTGTTTTTTTCTTAGCAAGAAATGAAAACAAACAAACAAAATCTCAAACAAACAAACAAAAAACCATGTTAAATAGTCCTCCTTTTCCTTCTTTTACTCTGAAGTGTTACTGAAGTTGTAAAATCAGACTCAGCTAGACTGAGTAAGGATAAAAAAAGAAAAGCTCAACAAAAGGCAGTATGTACTTACTTAAACAGCTCCTCAAATCAGTCCGAGTTGTCCAAAAGCCCCCTTTTAATAGGGCTTTACTGACCCACTAATTCGAAAGCGAGGCTATGTTTGTTAGTTGGGAGGTAAATTTAAGTCCTGCAGCAAATGTTAATGAGGGCTTTGTCTTAAACTAACCAAGGAGACTGTAGCAATGGGGCTCTGGACCAGGACAGGACACAGTTTCTTTTCCAAAACCCAGCCCGGGAGCTGCATTTTGAATGAAGACATTACAGATTAATAAATGATAGCACCATGGTTTTAGAAATTAAGTTAATGTTTCAGTAATTACCACTTAGTTCAACTTTTTTTTTTTTAAACATTCTAGTCACAGGCCAGAAATTAAGTTTAAGAACCCAAATTATTTTTATGTGCAAGTAAGAAAATCTTAAAATCTTAATCATAAAAAGAATTAAACTCTGCATAAAATTCTAAAATACTATTCCCCTATTTTCGAAGGAATTAGGGACAGGAAAACTAAAAACACCCATCCCATTTCATTTGACTTAGTCAAACAGGGCACAATCATTTATGCTTGTCTCTTTTCATCTTGATCATATCAAGATCTTTAGGAAGAAAAACCCAATGGTTGTCACTTGAGAAATCTCTTGACCACAAGACTGAGTATTCTATGGCAGAGGCATATACACATTAACGACATCTTAGTAAAGATGCAAGGGAAAGCCAAACAACCCAACACATATCTTAGAAGACAAAATGGCAGGCAACCGGTCCTCTGACCCTCTGAAGGCAAAAAAATAAACATGTCTTTACAAGAAAGAATAAGTCCAATGAAAGAAAGAGAGGGATGGAAGGGGGCCGCCGTGTTGCGAGAAGACGCTGACCTGCTCCAATTCAAAGTGCTAGAATGAAAGGTCTAAACAAAAAATGCCTATGATGCCTCCAAGTGGGGCGCCCACTCAGTCTTCTTTGCGCTCCAGAGTCTGTGCCGCATGGATGCCATTGCTGTAGACCGGGAAGGGCAGCGTGGAGAAGAGTCCCTCAGCCGTGGTGAACACATTGCCACCCGGCATCTGTGTGAGGCTGGCTGCGCTCACAGCACTGCCAAATGGTCCTGACATATTGAGCCGGTGCACGTGGTGGTAGAGCATCTCCATTGGCGTCTTGGGGTCAAGGCCGAAGCCGGGGCTGTTAACATCTACGAAGTTAACAGCATGCGCGTTGGGTAGCAGGTTGCCCTGCATGGCCAGGGTCACCTCAGCAGGAGCATAGCGGATGGTGCCAGTGGTGTAGACCCTCTGTGCAGCCGTGCTGGTGGCCGCCAGGGTCCCTGTTACCCGGTGCACAAGCGGAAGCACGACGTTGCCTGCTTGTAACCTCTGCAGGGCCTCCAGGTCCCCAGTGTACAGCAAGGAGTTGGACGCACCAGGGCCACCCCCGCCGCCCCCTGCCCCGCCCCCGGGGTGCTTGTCTCGCGGGGATGCCGAGAGTGGGGGCGACAGCGGGTCGGAGGCCACTGGAGCCGAGCCGCTGAACTGAGTCTTGCGGCTGGCGGTGCCATCGGCGCCTGGTGGGGTGAGGACCGAGTCGGGGATGGCCACGTGCAGTGCTCCCCCGCCGCCGCCGCCGCCACCACCACCACCACCACCGCCACCGCTACCCTGGCCCTGCGGGGATGGGAAGTGCTCAGAGTTGGGGGGTTTGGTCATGCTGTACGGGGACTCATTCCTGGAGATCTCCCGGTTGGGCGGGTAGTTCCAGATGCTGCTGTCGTTGTCGAAGTTGATGGGCTCCGCAATCTCTGTCTTGATCTTGAGCACCGAGGCGTTGTGCGGTGATGACAGCAATCGCGGCGGCTCCACCAGGCCGGCGTCCAGGCCCGGGCTGGACGCGCTGGACAGGCGCCGGCGACTGGCGCTGCCACCCTTCTGCCTTTTCCGCCGCCGCTTGCGCTTCTGGTGCTTGCTGGACGCCTGTGCGCCTGCCTCGCCCGCGCTGTCCGAGTCCTTGGCACTGTCCGACGTGAGCGACTCGCAGGGCTGCAGCCGCAGGTCTGCCTCGCTCTCTACGTAGCGCTCCACTTTGATCTGCATGGGGCCGAGTGAGCTGAAGCCATCCTCGGCCGCCTTGGGGTGCTCAAAGTCTGAATGCTCGAAGCTGTCGTCGCTGTCGCGGCTGTCCGGGTTGCTGGAGCTGTGGCCGTCGTCGTTGCAGTTCATGTCGTTATCACACGCACTGCCTGACTTCTTGCGGTCAGGTTCTGGATCTTCGCTGTTCTCGGACTGATTGCCCTTCTCGTCGGACTTGGAGTTCTCGTTGTCCTCTGCGGGAGGCCCGCAGGTGGCAGAGGGGCAGGAGGGGAGAGAGGAGGCATCGTGTTAGTGGGGCAGCAGAATTTAGGGTCGAGCCCATGGTGCCCACCTAATGAGAAAGGCCAGGTTTGGCTGAAGTTTAGCGGAAGGGGCGGGCCATAGGCCAGCACTACCTGCCCCTTCCGGTAGGCCTTCCACAAACAAAGCCCCACCCCCCAGGTCAGATACTGCTTGTGAACAGGTGATTGTTAGACACAGTCAAGTGTGGGAAGTCCTGTGGACACACCCAGGGAGTCAGATTAACTTGGAATAGGGTTTAGGGACATGAAGACAGGACAGTGAGTGTCAGGTGACTTAGAGAGGTTTGTGCTTTCCATTGATGATCATCTATTCATTATTGAAAACTACACTCTGTGTCTGTGGTTCCCCCCACCCCCTCCCTGCCACCATGCTATCATTGATTATTTGACTCCCCTGTCTTTTTATTTATGTCTCTCTTCAGCTACAAGCTCATGATAGTAAGGGGTTTTGTTAACTACTATATAAACAGGAGGCAGAAAATTCTAGGACTTCAGCTGGGGAAGGGTGGGGCTATGACAAAACTTCAACACATTTTAGGGACCCAGAAAACAAGCTCCACCACAAAGTGCGCCCCCACATCCTAAGCTGTGTCTGGAATACAGACATTCCTTGTCCGCAGCACTGGAGTTCTGGTACTCTAGTGAGGGGAGGCTGATGGAGGGATCTGCTTTCCTCATTTGAGGGAGAGCACATTTTCCCACAGTCACAGCCTCGGGAAACTCAGAAGGGATGTTGATTTCCATGGGTCTGCCACAGCAGTGTGGGTAGCAGACTGGATTAGAACCTTGGGTGAATCCTGTACATGCTCTGGCCTTCATGGACTTGTTATAAATACTCCAGAAAAAAAAAAAAAAAAAAAAGTAACAGATTGGCATCTGAGAAAAGTATTTTACTGTATTAGTATTGTATTATGATGAAAGTTGTTTACTGGGGTAAGGTTTCAGAGAAACTTCTGCCCATTGTTTATGGATAGTATAGAGCAGTGGAAAAAAAAAACAGATAAAAAACCTCAAGCTCATGGACTTATACCCTATTTTAGAGGCTCTATCCCAGCTTGGTAGGGATTGAACCTTGACCATCCTGGGCCTGGCAGAGCTATTCCTCCTGCCTGCTTCTAGCTGTGGAGCCACAGGATGATTAAGGGTGGGAAGGCTAACATTAAGTGATTAATCTGTCCTGTATGTTTATGTAAACTGCATATACACATATATGCCATGACATATATATGCACATATGTATTTATACATAATATAGATATAAACATTGGTGTGTTTGAGATTATTAATCAGGAACAATTTCCTAGTTACATCTTGTTATACGAGTTGGGCAGTTGCTAGGCCTCTGACTGTGGCCCTCTGGTTGCCACCCACCCCTGTGTTTGGACCAGCAAGCCTTGGCTATAAAGCATGGAGAAGTAAATACCTGTTATACCTGAGGTATCTTTAGAGTCTGATTCAGAGTCGGATGTCTCAGAGGATTCTGAAGTTTTCTCTGGCAAATGTGGGAGCTGTGCAATGTCCATGGGCGTGTCTTTGTACTCAGGGTTACTGTGGGAAAGAAGACACCCATCAGGAGGGCAGGCATTCATCATTTCCTGAACTTCTCTGCCCCAAACTTCCAGAGTTGAAGGAGTTTAGAGGACTGAATAGGAAGTTACTTCTCAGCTCCTCATGGGACTTTTCACAGAAGCTAGGCTTGTACAGGTGTGCCCTGCCACAGTGATTGAATACTCCAAATGCTGCACGAAAGCCACTAAAAAGCTTTTAAATAATCAGGTACCACCGGGGGCCAGAGAACTGTGCAGCTTGACATGCTCCTCCTGGCATAACACCTGGGGGCTGGGCCAATGAGAGGAAATCTCAGCGATTCATTCCCACACCACCTGGTGTGTCCGACCTTCTCTCCGGCTACTAATGAGTTCATTGCTCCAGTACTCTTGCCTTGGCCCCTGGATGCAACTTCTCAGCCATTCGGATGGTTCCAAAGCTATTGGAGTGGGGGTGGGGGTAGGGTGGGGTCGTGGCAGGCCCTCGGTGCCTAACGATCTGTCATATGCACAGGTGCATCTTGGGATGCGCGGCTCCTGAACTGTCAGCACACCCATTACAATCACAGTTTCATCTGCTCATGTGGCGTACACCTGTGGCTTGTTAGCTGGGAATCTGATTGCAGTGGGAGAGGCCCAGTGTGAGAGAGGTCCTAACAGACTGGAGCTGAACCCATGTACACAAATGTGCTTAGTGTTTGTTCTGTTTTTAATTTAGAAATGAGCATCTTCTGGAAATGAAATGGTCGGTCAGTTTGAGCTAGCAGGTCTCCTGGAAAAGCTGATCCCAGGCTGCCAAATTTAAGATCAGTTGAGACTTTCTGTAATCTCAAGGCACAAGGAAAACATCTTGCCTCCAAGTGGGAAATGCCTCTTCTGTCTTGTACATGGCGGGCCAAGGCAGTGACAACATGGACTCATGTGCTTCTGAATCCCTCATATGAAGAAGTCACTGTTTTAGTTCACTCTAAGACTGCAAATGTCCCTGGGAGGGTTGATTCATTGGGATGGATTAGCAGGCATTTATTCCTTAGCATGAATTAGCTTTAGCAGCAACAGTGTTCTCTAGATAATCAGATGAGACTAATGGTAGAAGGCAGTCTTGCGCTTTGCAGTCTCTGAATCTAGAATTCTAGTAATGCTGCCAGGGAATGGGCAGAAGAACGAGGGCAGTGAACAGTTGAAGGTGAGCCTGGACAGGGCCCAGAAGTGGAGTATTACTTGGGAGAGAATAAGCCCTTTTTTGACTAAGAAGGTGGGAAAGAAAAGCCAATTTAGAGTTTTAGATTTTTTTTTTTTGTGCCAAGGAATGATTTTGATACTAGGTCTCCAGCCTACAGAATGGCACCTAAGAGTGGCTGGCTTGAGAACTGGCTTTTGTCTCAGCATACTGGAATCAGTTTCCTGTAGTCGGGGTGCCATGGGGGCTCCATGATGACTGGTCTCCAATTCACTGTCAGTTATGAGTGATCACAGGGTAGGTCTTCAGGTCATCTGTGAAAGACCTACCACACATGAGACCAAGGCTCTGAAGCCTGAAGGCTGGCCTTTCCTGCCCAAATGTCTTTCTTCCTATCTGTATGGAATCTGATGAGATAGAATAGCCAAGTGCTTGTGGGCTGGTACTGTTCAACTCCAGGCTAGAGTAATGGAGTTGATCCAATGTCTTCTGTTCCTTGCTACTTCTGCCATTTCAGGCAGTGGGAAGTCATGTGGCTAGTGCAGTAGTCTGAAGTGAACAGTAACCAATAAATAAATAAAATAAGCAACATTGCCAAGGAAATAGATAATAACAGGTAAATAAACCCCACAGGCTGTGAATACCAAACATATAGATGACCCCAGAGCTCTTCAGTGCATTAATATGGTAGACAGACACTGTCTAGCCTTTAGGAATATTTACCAGGGTTTATTTCTTCATAGTGACACCACCACTTTTGCCTAGCATAGGAGCATGTGTGTGTGGGGGGTTCTTGTTCTATTTTCTGTATGTCACAGGAACTTTCATGGCTTTCTGTGGTAGAAGTAGTGACTGTTTCATGGAATGACTTAAAAGGACCTCTTGATCTCACAAACCCCATGGCGATATCACAACCACAGGGGGTGGTCCTCACGATTATCAAGCCTTGGAGAAAGCCACACTAAACACACACACACACACACACTTTTACCTTTAGAGAGAATTAATATAGAGCAGAGGAGGTCAAAAAAGGAAAAAGAAAAGTAGATAAATGAAAACTCTTGTAAGTGGGATCCATTAAGGCCCTCTCCAGAGCAATAATCATTAGTGTCTGATTGATATGCTGTGGGAAGCAAACACATTCATGCCTCCAGTCAAAGGCCAAAGTGTGGGAAACACTGATGAGCCATGCTGGTTAACATCTCATCTCCATTTGGCTGTCTCTAAGAAAAATGGGACTCAGGTAGTCTTTGTCGAAATTATCAGCCAAAGGGCACCAACTTCCATTCATTAGCTCTACTGGAAGCTTTCCTACTCCTGCTTGGTGCCTTTAGGACAACAGAGGCCAAAGACTAGAATGATGGTGGTGGGCGGGAGCCATGCCACACATTGCGATAGCTTTGTGACAGGACTGTTGTAGCAAATTTTCCAGAAGGCTTATCCTCAAACTCAAACCACCCAGGTTGCTGGAATCCCAAAGCGGGACAGACAGAGGGAAAGAGAGAGAAAGGGTACCTCACACTGGCATTTAGGAAGCAGCTGAATTTGGATTGCCATGGACACACATAAAACTTGTCTAAGAGCTTAGAGTGGCAGGCAAAAAGATTGTTTTTATTATTAGTGTTATTATTACTGTCATCGTCATCATCATTATTTACAATGAGATTGTCACTATTCTGGCAAAGTCCTTCATTTTGCTTACCAAAATGTGAGTGCCCAGAGAACAAAACCCTATGGAGGCTGAGGGGATAGCATGCTATCCCTCCCTGCTGGCTCCCCTGCTTACTTTGCCAGGGAGAGAAGTGCAGAGGCAAAGGTGTGGAGGAGAAAGGGGATGCTTTCTATCTAGACTGCAGCTGCAGGCAAAGGGTGGTACATGGACCAGGAAAGTAGGCCAGTTTCTCCAGAGCTCCCCAAAGGCTGACAACCCAAGATTTACTGGGCTGTGATCTTCTCCCATTTCTTTGAATTTGGGAGGAAGAAAAGCCGAGTACCCATGTCCCTAGAGCAGACGGCATAATGATGTGTCAGCTATTAACTGCAGTGTGCAGTTCATAACCGGGGGAGAAATGAAACAGAAAGGATACCTAAGGAGATAATTCACCCAGATGATATTCTTCTCGTTCGCGTTCTTGGCATTAATAGCTATGGTGGCACTAGATTGTATCCAGATGTAGCCTCCATTCTTCTGCATCCAGCGATAGTACTTCGTCACACACTGACCCTTATTCAGCACTGGGGTAGAGTAAAGGGGGGGGGGAGGGACGAGAAAGCAGAAGGTATAGTATTAAGATTGTCACAGGATTGATTTTCATCTCTACCCAACCTCAAACCGAATCCAGGGGAGTCCTGTGTATGCCCAACTTAAGATGCCATTAGCACAAATGAAATCAACATCTCATTGGGGGCGGCAGCTGCCCAGCTAGGGCTACTGGCATTTGTAGTGAGCCTCTATTCCCTTCTGGGCAGCCATGGTGTGAATGGGAGAATAAAAGGACTACTAATCTTTTTGGCTCAGAGCACACCTAATGTGGTGTGGATATTGTCAGTGGGTTTAACATCAGATGCTAAGAGAGGCAAATCTGTGTAAGATTTATGCATAGCTTCAAGTTGCCCTCTTTGAGATTCTGGATATTTGAATGGTTCTGAAGATGCCTTAAACCCCCCCCCCCCCGTCTTTGATCATTTCCCTTCAGCCTGAGCAATATCAACCCGTGTCCTTAGCCATCTGTTCCTTTTGATCTTGTCTTACACAATTTATAGACCTTGGATGAACTAAATTTACATTGGTCAGCCGGGGTAAACTGTGGTGAGATGGCTGAAGGTTGGAACAAAATTAAATCCCCACAGCATTGGCTTGACTTGAGCCAAACAGAGTGACAGCTCCACACAGACACTGAAATATGGCACAAAACGAAGGAACAAGTGAAAACATTCCGTAACGTGAACCTGTGCCTTTAAATATCCACTGTAAGAGAGCTTTTAAAAAGGCAGATGCTAAAAAGCGATACTTTAACCAGAAACTTGCCAAGTTGAAATAGATTTGATTTGTGTCTGGGTTCTCCTGAGCTAGTAAAAGGGGAAACGGCAGTAAATCATCCCCTAAATAAAGTGCCGTGGATGGGAATATTCCAGAGTATGCAAGAAAGTGTCTGATGGTAGGGCTTGGAGACGGCTGCTCACCCCCCACCCAAAAAGCTCACCAGCCCGCAGCCACTAGAGGGCAGTGCGCACTCGTCTACATGACCCACTTTTGGCATGTCCTTGTCTCCGTCTGCTAAAATGAAAAACCTCTAACTGCTGTAATAAATTTGGCTAAATTAGCTGCTAAATGGTTATCTCAAGTAATATGTATTTGCATTAATCATCTTGCTCTAAACCAGAACAAGCCAGAGTCCTAAAGACGTAGTAAATTCATATTGTCCATTTAATTACGGCTAATAAGTGCTTCATATACAATAGTTTCATGAAGTACATTTTGATATTTTTTTGGGGGGTGTACAGATGGGGAAATGGAGTCACTTTGGAAAAGAACAACGTTTTGGGCTCCTGAAACTCTTCCTGCCTCTGAAAGTGGCTACAAATCAAACCGCCCGGACCTTGTCTACAAGCAGACAGGCTTCCGTACCCCGACCCACGCCTGCTCTTTTCTTTTTTTCCTCGCAATATGCTAAATGGATAGCTGTAAAATTTAATAATTATGTCGCCACTGTTGCCTGAAAATGCTGTGATGAATGCTTCACACGGTGGGAAGTTTTGCTCTAAAGCTGTCACACAGTGTAGGGCCCTAGAAGGTCAGGCACTGTCACCTTTCCATGGTGGCCAGCCTCCACAGGTAGCATTGTGTGCTCCTTTTGTTGGGGACTGTAAGTTCTGCTGTCCTGCATGCATGGCTTCCCAGGCTACAAAACTCCTAGCTGAAGCAAAAAGCAGTGAGGTGCCAAGTCTACTGCGCGGCTCTTCTATCAAAGCCACTGTGGTATACAGCACGAAGTGCCTTTATTCAGATCCTCTCAGCCTGCTTAACCATTAATGGAGGACACTGGCTTGTGCAATTCTTCACAGAGGAAGTCACCATACTCCAATCTGGTTGGTGATATAATTCTATATGCTTTGTAACTAGGATACTTCCTAATGGTTTTAGTATTTTTTTTTTTTCAAAGACAAAAAAGACTAAGAAATCTTTTTGCAGAATCACATGGAAAAAAAATGTTGAATCAGCAAATCTGGACCAGAATGGAATCCAGAACAGGCAACAAGCAAACAACAGAAAATCCAAATCCAGAATACAGAGGCCTGGAAAGGGGTAAGTGAAGGGCTGAATCGGAAGATCAAGTTAAAATTTGAAAACCAACAGAAAGGTCACCCCACCCTCTATGCTTTTCACTTAAAACAACAGCCTCCCAGACAGTTTTCAGATAGGGCCTAAATACCTTTTCTGATACAAAGAGCTGATGCATTGTCATCTTTTTAGGATGAGGTAGGATGGCTTGGTCTGCTTAAGGGCATTTGGTGAGAAGATAAATACAAATTCATCAGGGTCCATGAGTACACTAACTCAGTCTTTCATTGAAGCAGGCTTGAGAATGTCGCTAAGAGTGAGGTTCAGACTGAAAAGGAGGCAGATAGGTGAGTTGCCATGTAGAGGTGGCCAGGGAGGGACTGAAAAGCAAAGGGTTTCCTCTTCCTGGAGCCAGGGAGCAGGGTAAGTACTGTGGGTCACCGTGGGGACCCTGAGGAGTGGGTTACAGAGTCCCTGGTGCATATCTGAAGACAGGTATTCTAGCCATAATTGTTCCCTGGACTCATCTTTAACAAATGGAACTATTCAAGGGCCACATCTCTACATGATCATGAATTATAGATTGGTGTCCTCTGAATGTGCCCACCATGCGATCTTGGAATTCACAGAGAAGACAAGATGTTAATGCTGACCAAAATGTTACCTAAGTTCCTCTTGTTTACAAGTTCACATGAAAGAAGTTACCACGATGTCTTCCATGTACTGAATCAGGAATACTTTTTGCTCACATCTTCTCACAGAATATAAATTTATAACTTTGGGATGAAGCTTTTTCTTGGAAAAAAAAAGAGAAAAGAAAAAAGCCATACTGGCAAATCAGTTGGATCATTCCAGCTGTGCCAGAGGCAGGATCTGACAGCTTTTCCTGAGCTCATGTGGTCCTAATCAGCTCAAGAAGAAAAGCCACGTTGGTGCCAGTTTGAAAGAGATTTTTGTGTGTAATAAATTAGAGAACTTGAAAAATACAAAAAAAAAAAAAAAAAAAAAAAAAAAAAAAAAGCCCCTCTCTTGATTCTGTTATCTAGTAGCTGCTGTTATTTTTGAGGCATTGGTTTGAATAGTAGGGAGAAGTAAAAGAATATTTAGGCCAGTCCTCTTCACAAAGTCCCCTTTGTGGAAAAAAAAAATCAGGAATAAGTACAATATAAGTTGGTTGATATGGCAATTCTTAAACATAGTTAACTGGCCAGGTGGTGGTGGTGCACACCTTTAATCCCAGCACTCGGGAGACAGAGGCAGGCAGATCTCTGTTGAGTTTGAAGCCAACCAGATCTACAGAGTGAGTTACAGTCCTGGCTAGGACTGTTACACAGAGAAACCCTGTCTTGAAAAAAAAAAAAAACAAAAAATAGCTATCTTCAAAAAGACTTCTCATCGAGCCAATGAATCCTGGGGTATGTTCAGAGCCATGCACACAAACTACAACAAGAAGGAAGTAGAGGGAGAAGAAATATACATGTTGATTGATTTTTTTTTTTTTTTTACTTTGACATCTATGAGAATGCTGAGTCCTGCTGACAAGTTACCTGGCATCATCCTGTGGCTTGTTCATTAATGTTTGCACTCCGCTACCAAGATTCTTGGGTTGATTGCTATGTGCATCCCTCAACTGAACTGACTGATCACATCAAAACATCTTTAGGGTTGTATCTTTTAAGGGTACACGGCTGAGGTATTACCTTTTTGTTTTAAAGTCTCACAGAATTTCAATGCCTTTTTCTTAGTTTCTTTTTTTTTTTTTTTGTTTTTGTTTTTTTTTTTTTTTTTTTTTAGTATCCATGAAGATACAGGGAGGAAAAGTAGGTCTGCCCAGGTTTTCTCTGAATGGTCCAGGCACAGTTTTCTTCCTTATTACTCATAGTGTAGGGTAGCTCCAGGCGCCTTTGGTGGCTAGTGTTCTATGGGAATGTTCCCCACCACCCTGCCTGCCTTCCACACTGAGGGCTCCTCAGAGTTACAGACTGCCTTGAGGCGGAGCTGACCCTGCACTTGGGTGAAGGACACAGTGGGAACAGACTGAGTCCTTCTGGTTGAGGCCTGCCCACCTAGTAACTAAAAAACCACCATTGAGGTTTGACTTTCAATCAGAAACACTACCCCTGCCTAGCTGGGGAGTGTCAAATAACATGCCAAAAGCCAACTGTGGCACTTAGATTTTAAAACATGTGACCTTTGATAGCAAATACCCCCCCCCCCATGAAAGACAGGATGATAATCTTTATTGAACATCCCTTTAAAATGCCACTTGATCTCTTGACTGAACCACAGACTGAGTATAAGAATGTTCTGTTTGCAAATAGTAGTCACTTTCCTCCAAACCCTACAAACTTAGTCAGTGTGGGGTACATCTGTGTTCCTGCATACAGTTCCCAACAGAAGGATTTAAGTGTTTCTTCAGGGAAGCCTTATCCACAGACATAGACAGTAACTAGAAAGATACAAAAGAAGCCAGTGTCTGAGGCAGGGATACCATTCTGTAAATTCAAATAAATCAGTACAAACTTGTCTTCAGAAATGTGAAGGGGGGAGAGAGAGAGAGAGAGAGAGAGAGAGAGAGAGAGAGAGAGAGAGAGAGAGAGAGAGAATGTCTCTTCCTTTTGCGCTGCTCTACAAAACCAAAGCCAGAGCCTAAATAGTGAGTTAGTTGTGTCTCAGGAAGACGGAAGCAGGGGAATGTAGTCTGACAAGATGTGGAGAACTGTATCAAAGCTGTCATTTAGCCAGGGCCTCACAAAAGGATATTTAGCAGTCTGCATATGCATTAAAAAGGCTGCAATACTTGGTGCATTCAGGTAAGTATAGAATAACTAGGAAATGGTGAGCTCATCGGAGAGGCCATACTTCACATTCACGCAGCTGAACAAAGAGCTTCATTATCATCATGGGGACAGGAGGATGCATGCATCTGTGGGACTCTGACCCCCTCACTGAG